TCCAGAAACAAAATAAATCATTTAGCTTCTATGTAATCCGAATGTTTAGTTCAGTATCTTCACAAATGTTTTCTTTGATAATGTTTACCTGTCTTGTATGCTGAACTGTTGTCACTTTGTTTATGAAGATTCCCCAGATAGGTACAATGTGTGAAGCCCATTTCTGGTGTTCCCCGCTGTGATATTGCTGGAATATTGCTAAAAGCGGCGTAAAACATAATCACTCATTCACTCACTCATGAAACACATGTTTTATTCTAAGCTAAGGTGTTCATGCCTCTACGCTGATGCACCAAAGCTATAAGGATCTTTTCACAATTTGCATTTGACATTTATCAGTTTAGCAATTTGTAAAATTCACCAACTGAATAACGCAGATCCGCAGATCCGTGTCTAACACTGCTGGGTTTTCTGGCTCAACACTCAGCTGACGCTGATATGAAACAGAACATTCAAAGCAGTGTTCAATTCAACTCATTACTCACACTTATCACATGAGAAATGTTGCTTCTTTGTTTGAAGGGCTTTTAGCTCTGAGAAAGGAATTTTAAAGATGGGCTGATGAAAGATAGAACCTGAGTCTATAGTCCATCTATTTTGGGGAGAAAGTGACCTCTTTTGGTAATAATTGTTATGATGGATTAGATCACATCGTAAAATCAGCTTTAATTGTGAGCTATTCTTTTTTTCGTTGCTCTAATTTATTTCATACAGATAATTGGGCGGTGGGGTAGCCCAATGGTTAAAGCATTGGCTCGTCACGCCGAAGACCCGGGTTCGATTCCCCATATGGGTACAATGTGTGAAGCCCATTTCTGGTGTCCCCCGCCGTGATGTTGCTGGAATATTGCTAAAAGTGGCGTAAAACCAAACTCAGTGGGTCAGTCATACAGATAATTATTTTGTAGCAAAGCAAAATTCACATAATTCTATTGTAAATGGGAAACCTGCAGGTTTTTTATAAAATAGTATCCTTGATAGTGTGAACGAGTGAGTGATTTGAAAATAACAAAACCCTCACAGAATCAATATTCTGTACATTTCTAACACACACACATACATATATAAGTAAATTCCTGGGTAAAGAATGCCAAGAAATGGAATGTTCTAAACAGTATTTAAATAGCACTCACTCACACTTTTAATAGATCAGTAATGCTCATTCTCCAGGTGTGAAGGACTTTTAGCTCTGAGAAAAGAAAATGAATGATGGGCTTTTGGCAGCGTTCTGGAAATGATCGAGTCTGCACCAGACAATAGAGTGGTCAACATCATGAGCATCAATCTGCGTGTTTGGGATACGATGACATGTGTCAACCAAGTCAGTGAGTCTGACCACCCGATCCCGTTAGTCGCCTCTTAAGTCCATGTTGAAACACATCAGATAAGATGACACCCCTTGTGACAACATTGTTGTTTGTGTACTTCAAGCCGAAATACAGAACAAATTCATGTGCTTTTTCTTGTCAATATATATATGTGCTAGAAGAACATATTCTGTTTTATTTCTGCAAATGGTTCATGTCATCAAAGCCAGTATTTGCATGATCTTTTATAGAAAGGAAAGGGTAATGTTTCATTTGTTTATTGGCCAAAACTGCCAGAATTTTTTACATGTCAAGTTGATTTGCAGTACCGATATGTAGTTCAGAGGTTTAATCATGTCAAAAGAAAAGAAAGAAATAAACCTTTTTCACCAGTATAGTACCCATTTACAAGTTTGTATGCTAAAATGAAGCATTAATGGTATTCTGCATGAAACTGTCTTTTAAAAGTTGTAGGTACATGTATGTAGGTAAATATTAAGAAATGTTGTGTGAACAATTATACAATATTCTCTTATGAGCATCATTCTACACAATTAGCATAGGCATCGGTGAGCCTGACAAAACCTGATGATTTAGTCACCACTATCTACAAGAATGGGTTCTTGAAGAAGAGTTCTATCCCTGATCTTCTTGGGTATATAAAACGCTCATTCCAGAGTCTTGATTATCCACCAAAATAGATTCCATTAAGGCCAAAATGGTGAAAATGAATAGAATGACGAACATGGTAGACAAGTTCTTCAAAAGATGAGTTTTCTTTCATTAACTTTTCCGTTCTTACTTTTACATTTTCTTCCAATTTTTCTTGACCTTTACACAACAAAGCCGAACTTCAAGTAACAAAACTATGGCAGCATTGTGTTCTTTTTCCACCAGCGCCATCATTACCTACAAGTTTGTCATCAAAGAATGGTCTCCACACAACTTGCATTAGTCCAGCTTCTTTCATCCTAACCTATTCTGTAGAAATAGAGCCTATTCCGATCTTGTCTCTACCATAAAAGTCACTGTAAGTGCTTCTTCAGTATATATTACCAATGGCATTACCAAGTTCTAACGGTGTCCTGTGATGGTGTTTAACGTTTAAAGGTAGTTTTTGCGGGTTGAGCATAACCCTGTTTTATGTATACAACCAGAATGGACAGTTAGTGATTGCAACTACCAGAAGGAATCAGTTTTGTTTTGTGTCATTATAGGAGGTTACACTTATGATAAAGTAGAAGGAAAGTAGTTTTTTCTTGAAAAGTGCCATAATGCTGACCCACTGATTATGAATCACTGGGTTGTCTAGTCCAGGGTGCCGTTGTTCAAAACAACCTTAGTGCTAAGATTACCGTAAGCCTATGTTAAGGTATGGGAGTTATGATCACCTTAGCGCTAAGATCGCTTGGTACAACGTACTCCAGATCTGATTATTTACAACCACTGTCATATGAGTGGAATATTACCAGACAAAGAGCAATGTGATCAGATCCACCCATCTTCAGCAGCTCTTGTTTGGTCCAGACTCCATTATTTACATACCATTGTCATATAGCTGGAATATTGGCTGAAAGCGGCAACAGACAGTGCTCAATGTGATCAGATCCATATATTTTCAGCATTATCTCAGCAGCTCAAGTCACGGGTGTCAACTTCATGTAAATGTTGAGGTACAATTGATCTTTCAAGTTTTCAAAGAGTGTCATATGACTCTTGCTGAAATAGTGTTTGATCAAGGTTAAAGCAGCCAAGGTTTCAGTTAGGTTTTCCAAATGTTCATGGACATTTTCCATGACCAAAATGATGTCTGAAGCTGTTCCTGACTTTGACTTACGTTGTTTATTCTTATGGTTGTGTCAACGCGTGGATATATGCGTCAACTGGGGCAACTTGTAGGTTGTCCATTAGATGGTTTCTGTATGATGCTCCATTCAAGATGGCGGGGTTGAGGATCCATGTTGATCAAGACGCTTGAAATCTCTTCAGGTAGATGTAGAACTTGGGGAATCATCCTTGATACACAATGTTAATGGTAGGCACATAGAGAGGTTTTCAAGATCGGGAGTTAGCTAAAAAGTTACTCTACCCGGATTCTCCACCAATTTGTCAACGCGTGGATATATGCGTTGACTGGGGCATTAGCTCGGAATTAAGATGAAGTGTACGTACAATACGTTGACAAGGCGAAAGAATATGTTGAGCTCAAACTTCTTTAGTTCATGCTCAACCCAAGGGCGTTTCCTACGAGCGGCATTATCCTGCTCGTGGTCGTCCCAACAGACAGTCCAAATACCGAACTAGTACTCCTTCACTGTCTAGATGTGAGCATACTAAGTATATATACAGTTTTTTGACAACAATGGACAGGCGACGACTCATCAATGGAAAGACAGAAAAACAATAGCACTTCCTTGACCAGTCGATGTGATGACAGACACGGCCAAGGGGGATTACCAATGAAGGTTATAAATGTCTTATACAATAATTAATGGGCTGACAAGTCAATTTACAATGCGGTAGTGATAAGGATGTACAGTAGTGATTAAATATACAGCTTAGTGTCATATTTATATTAGACCGCCTCCGTGGTGTAGTGGTTAGAGCGTCCGCCCGGAGAGCGGAAGGTCACGGGTTCGATCCCCGACCGCGTCATACCAAAACACGTTAAAATATGGTACTTGTTGGTCCCTGCCTGGCGCGCTCGGCATTTATGGGTACAACAAGGACTGGTCGGCTCGGAGTCAGTATAATGTGTCTGAGTGGGGTATTCATGCTTCACTGCGGCATGGTATCTCAGTGGGCTAGCACTATAAAACCAGCTTCAGTCTGGGCTAGTACAAGCAGCAGCACATACACATACACACGCATGCCCGTCGTCATATGAGCGAAATATTCTCAAGCACGACGTTAAACCCAATTTCACCTCACCTCATATTTATATTACAATAAAGTCTCACATGTCTTGAGTACATAGGTTTGGACTTTTTAAATATTTGGACGATGGTTGTCCTGAATTAGTCCCTATAACAACTTGCTATGGTGAACACTTGAGTTGCCTTGGCATGTGTTTGTGATGTCTGCCACCCTTGTGCAAATTGCGCTCACCTTTTTTGTGAACACCTGGTATCATCAGTAATTGGTAGTTATTCATAACCAAATAAATGCATATGACATAGAATGGTATTGAAATTGGGTCTTTAAATGGCATTTAGAAGTGTTACACATAAGGAAGAACGTTTCATGGATGTCAGCCTCTTTATCATGAAGGGGCGTTGGGGTAGCCTAGTGGTTAAAGCATTCGCTTCGAAAACCTGGGTTCTATTCCCCACATGGATACAATGTGTGAAGCCGGTTTCTGGAGTACCCCACTGTGATATTGCTGGAATATTGCTAAGAGTGGCATAAAACCATACTCACTCACTGACTCACTCACTCTTGGCGTATGTCCTTAATCCTTTGTCAGGTATTGAAATTGTTTGTTGCTTTCACTGCAATGGCTCTTACTGCAAATTTCAAGGTTCTAAAATTGGCCAACCAATAATTCCTTGTTTTTCTTTTGCTCCACAGAGATCAGGCTCACTGTGACCAAGCTCCATGATGTGGACATTTCATGCTTCCAATTTCACTCAAAGACCTCATCCAAGTTTTCACTTCACCTCCGCCTGAACTTGATTTATCTGTCTGTTGTAGATCCTGCGTGTGGGAGTGGCCAAAGTGAGGCTTGTGAGTCTTGCCAGTGCCAGACCATGGCTGATCCACTCCTACAAGAACACCAAGGGTCGGACCTCAATGTTCAGGAGCATGGACCAGGTAGGGATCAAAGAGTTGTACCTCAATGTTCAGGTCGTACCTCAATGTTCAGGGGCATGGACCAGGTAGGGATCAAAGGGTTGTACCTCAATGTTCAGGTCATACCTCAATGTTTAGGAGCATGGACCAGGAAGGGATCAAAGGGTCATACCTCAATGTTCAGGTCGTACCTCAATGTTTAAGAGCATGGACCAGGGAGGGATCAAAGGGTCATACCTCAATGTTCAGGTCGTACCTCAATGTTTAGGAGCATGGACCAGGAAGGGATCAAAGGGTCATACCTCAATGTTCAGGTCGTACCTCTATGTTTAGGAGCATGGACCAGGAAGGGATCAAAGGGTCATACCTCAATGTTCAGGTCGTACCTCAATGTTTAGGAGCATGGACCAGGTCGGGATCAAAGAGTTGTACCTCAATGTTCAGCTCGTACCTCAATGTTCAGCTCGTACCTCAATGTTTAGGAGCATGGACCAGGGAGGGATCAAAGGGTCATACCTCAATGTTCAGGTCGTACCTCAATGTTTAGGAGCATGGACCAGGGAGGGATCAAAGGGTCATACCTCAATGTTCAGGAGCATGGACCAGGGAGGGATCAAAGGGTCATACCTCAATGTTCAGCTCGTACCTCACTGTTCAATGGTATGGACCAGGTAAGGATCAAAGGGTTGTACCAAAGGATTTTTTGAAAACCATGAACATGTAAGGTACAACTGAGTTGTGCACGTGCATCCCGTGCGTTTGATTTTGGGGTGGTGATAATGAGAAATGGTGATGTGTTCGTAACTCGTCTGTCTTTGTTTGTTTGTTAACGCTTGTACTTCCTATCCAAATTTGGGGCAGTGGGGTTGCATGTCGTCTCAGTGAGCTGGAACAAAAGAACTGACTCCGAACCAGTACAAGCAGCCCCCAATGGTGGAGGGGTAGCCTAGAGGTTAAATCGTTCGCTCCTCACGCCGAAGGCCCAGGTTCAATTCCCCACAATGTGTGAAGCTCATTTCTGGTGTTCCCTGCCGTGATATTGCTGGAATATTGCTAAAAGCAGCGTAAAATCCAACTCACTCACTCCTATCCAAATTGAAAGTTCAGGTTCCCCTACTTTTTTTTAAGAGTATATTTTATGATATGAGACATTCGTCTTATGGTGGATGATGTATGCATGGCTTTGCACATCAGTCTGGTTGGTTTGATATTTACAATATTCATGATCATTGATCATCTTAGGAGCTGTTATTTAGGGAACTTCCACAAATGCCACAACCGTGCTTCAAATCGCCAGTGACATTTGAAACACCAAGCACTGTATAATCAGCCTTAATTATTGGTCGATTCAGATTTCATTGGTCTTAAAAGGCCAAACTGTGATGAAGACTACGTAAACAGCATTGCAATAAGATCTTGATCTTTATAGACCCATCATTCTTACCTGATGTTTCAGGAGTCAGACAGAGTGTCCCTGGATGAGTTTCCAGATGGACAGCCTCGGACAAGGAGAGGAAAGTATGTCTGTGATGCTGGAACCAGTACTGCAGATCTGAATCAATCTGATGAAGGAAGCCTCATGGACCAAGGAACTCAGACTACACTACCAGAGATGCCGTTTGCCCTGAGGTGAGTAGATGCATCAGGGATAGTCCTTGGTGACCCAGACTTGCCCTGAGGTGAGTAGATGCATCGGGATAGTCCTTGGTGACCCAGGCTTGCCCAGAGGTGAGTAGATGCATCGGGGATAGTCCTTGGTGACCCAGCCTTGCCCTGAGGTGAGTAGATGCATCGGGATAGTCCTTGGTGACCCAGGCTTGCCCTGAGGTGAGTAGATGCATCAGGGATAGTCCTTGGTGACCCAAGCTTGCTCTGAGGTGAGTAGATGCATCGGGGATAGTCCTTGGTAACCCAGGCTTGCCCTGAGGTGAGTAGATGCATCGGGCTTGCCCTGAGGTGAGTAGATGCATCAGGGATAGTCCTTGGTGACCCAGGCTTGCCCTGAGGTGAGTAGATGCAGCAAGGGATAGTCCTTGGTGACCCAGGCTTGCCCTGAGGTGAGTAGATGCATCGGGGATAGTCCTTGGTGACCCAGCCTTGCCCTGAGGTGAGTAGATGCATCGGGGATAGTCCTTGGTGACCCAGGCTTGCCCTGAGGTGAGTAGATGCGTCAGGGATAGTCCTTGGTGACCCAGCCTTGCCCTGAGGTGAGTAGATGCATCAGGGATAGTCCTTGGTGACCCAGGCTTGCCCTGAGGTGAGTAGATGCATCAGGGATAGTCCTTGGTGACCAGGTTTGCCCTGAGGTGAGTAGATGCATCAGGGATAGTCCTTGGTGACCCAGGCTTGCCCTGAGGTGAGTAGATGCATCAGGGATAGTCCTTGGTGACCAGGCTTGCCCTGATGTGAGTAGATGCATCAGGGATAGTCCTTGGTGACCAGGTTTGCCCTGAGGTGAGTAGATGCATCGGGGATAGTCCTTGGTGACCCAGGCTTGCCCTGAGGTGAGTAGATGCAGCAAGGGATAGTCCTTGGTGACCCAGGCTTGCCCTGAGGTGAGTAGATGCATCGGGGATAGTCCTTGGTGACCCAGCCTTGCCCTGAGGTGAGTAGATGCATCGGGGATAGTCCTTGGTGACCCAGGCTTGCCCTGAGGTGAGTAGATGCGTCAGGGATAGTCCTTGGTGACCCAGCCTTGCCCTGAGGTGAGTAGATGCATCAGGGATAGTCCTTGGTGACCCAGGCTTGCCCTGAGGTGAGTAGATGCATCAGGGATAGTCCTTGGTGACCAGGTTTGCCCTGAGGTGAGTAGATGCATCAGGGATAGTCCTTGGTGACCCAGGCTTGCCCTGAGGTGAGTAGATGCATCAGGGATAGTCCTTGGTGACCAGGCTTGCCCTGATGTGAGTAGATGCATCAGGGATAGTCCTTGGTGACCAGGTTTGCCCTGAGGTGAGTAGATGCATCGGGGATAGTCCTTGGTGACCCAGGCTTGCCCTGATGTGAGTAGATGCATCGGGGATAGTCCTTGGTGACCCAGGCTTGCCCTGAGGTGAGTAGATGCATCGGGGATAGTCCTTGGTGACCCAGGCTTGCCCTGAGGTGAGTAGATGCATCAGGGATAGACCTTGGTGACCCAGGCTTACCAAAATAGACACCAGCTTCCCTCATACCCTTTGCTTTTTCCTTACGGAGAGGATGGAATAAGTTGCCAGGAGCATATGTTGCACTAGTGGAGATTCCTAGGCAGAGTATGACACTTGTGTTCTAATGCTTAAAAGTGTTGGGGCAAGTTCATGGGTAAATCATTACCTTGTCATTCTAAAGATTCCAGTTTTCGATTCAGATTGACTGGGTTTCGATTCCACACTTGGGTACAAGGTATGAAGCCCATTTCTTGTGTACTTCCCCCATCTTGATATTGCTGGAATATTATTGAAATAGCGTCAAAATGTCTTTGCTTGCTCACTCACTCACTCACACTGTAACTCACCCACCCTCTCACTCACCCACTTACTCGGGTAGGACAGACACCAGTTTCTTTGTCTCCATACTGCCAATGCTGTTCCCAGTGACATGGACTACATGTGGTTCCCTCGTGGGGATTCTGATGCATACTGGTCACTACGGTCCTTATCTTTGTTGTGGCAAGAGTACCAGCTATGGGGATTCTGAAACAGCCAAGTACCTTAAAGCTAAAGCTTACATGTGTCCCTACCTTGGTAGTGGTAAAAGAGCTGCAAAAAAATATCCTCACTCTGTCGCTTTTCTACGTCTGTCTTGTACTTTTCTAAGTCTATGGTCGCCTTCTCCTCCCTGTTCCAGCTCATATGAGAAGGTTCGGCTGATTGCCCGGCCATGGAGGAAGCCAGAGGGGCATCTCAACAAATGGCTGCTGAAGTTCATGCTGGAGTCCGTGATGCTGTATATCATGTCCAACCCGGGGGTCCGCAACACTGTCATCTACCAGAAGTACACACCCTACCTGCAGCCAGTGGTTGTACAGGAGCTTGTAGAGGTCAGTTGTCCACAGGGGTGGTGGGGTAGTCTAGTGGTTAAAGCGTTTGCCCGTCACACTGAAGACCAGGGTTCAATTCCCCACATGGATACAATTTGTGAAGCCCAATTTTGGTGCGCCCTGCTGTGATATTGCTGGAATATTGCTAAAAGCACTGAAAACTAAACTCACTCACTCACTCACTCTATTCTTTTCTCAGATGCTGGAGGATCTCAACTGTCTTTCCCGGACATGTCTCACGGTCAAAGTCAAGTCGTCCCTGTTTAACAGTGCCAAGGTTGAGAGAGGTATGATGATGGCAAGCTTGTTTATTCTTAGATTGGTTATTTTTCATGTTAGCTCTTGTATGTGCTCTGTTCCAAGGGAGAAAACTCTTGTCAGACCTTGAGCCAGAATTACACAAATAAGATATTTAACACTTGAAGTGTTTAATCATGTCATGTTTTGAGCCATGAATACTTGTTTATTACCATATGTGCTGGGCATGAACAGACCTTGTTATTGTTCATTGTGCCTATAAACAGCATCTGTGGTCTGGTTGATAGAGTGTTGGCCCGTTACATCATACCAAACGATGTTAAAGATGGGACTTGTTGTTGCCATCTCTGATGCTTGGTATTTAGGGGATGAAAAAAAGGATTGGAATCAGTATACTGTTCCTGAGTGGGGTGCCCATGTTAAACTGTTGTATGGTGTCTCAGTGAGCTGGAACAAAGAACTGACTCCCAACCAGTACATGAAGCCCCAAGGGTGGTGGGGTAGCCTAGTGGTTAAATCGTTCGCTTGTCATGCCAAAGACAAGGTTCAATTCTCCTCATGGGTACAATGTGTGAAGCCCATTTCTGGTGTCCCCTGCCATGATATTGCAGGAATATTGCTAAAAGCAGTGTAACACTAAACTCACTAACTCACAAGCAGTCCAATTTCTTCATTTTTTATCGTACTGTTTTCATGTGTGGGTTAAACTTTATGTTGTCAATTTATCTTTATGAAATACAATATTATTCATTTCCATGTTTGTAATGCTGATCTACAAGATCCATGTATAAAGAAACGAGGTGATTGTCTGTGTTGTGATTCTACAGTCGCTTCCGGGAGCCTTGATGACGACATTGTGATGTACGAAGCCAAGATGGACTGCACCTTCAAGCTGGGACAGTTTGTGTCGTCGCTGACGTGAAACCTGACGATGACTGTCGCCATCATCCTGTCAATCACTGAACATACTAACTAGTGGTGTTCCGATTAATTGAAATAATCGAAGATTGGTCGCAGTGTCCAAACGACCAAGCAATCGATGACATTTTCTCATAATCGAACACCAACAATTTCGGGAACTACTGTTTTAGTCTTTGAAACATTTGACGATGCAACATATCTTTGAAGTTGTCAGGGCCTGAAAACTTGCTTAAGTCTTGGAAAACTCACTTCACTAACTGAAAAGGCATGACTAAATATTTCTTGAAGACTCCGGGAAGTTTATGTTCATGATATTATTAGTCATCACTTTAAAGTAGCAAGTTGCATCCTGTTATACATATCTGCAATAACAACCTGGATAGGAAAATCTGAAAAATGACACTAAACAATTTTTTTCGATGATTGTTCGTTGGTAATGAAGCAATCATCAATTGTGAGATTCCAACCAATTCCCAACTCTAATACTAACACACTAACTGTTGAATATTTACAAAGTAACATTATGATCATTGGTCATACTTGTCATTGAGTTTTCCGCCACATTGTATAGTACTGCTGATATCTTCACAGCAGTGTAAACACTACATCATTTCAATGTATCTATCATCATCTCATGTCAATCAACCTGATCCTCTCAAGTCAGTTTCAGCAACCTATGCATGTGATAAGAGGGGATTAACAGGATATAGTAGTTCCGCCTGTTGACTTGCCTGACACGGTTCATTGTATCCCAGTTGGTAAGATTGATACTCGTGATGTCAGTGTCTGGATTGTCTGGTCCAGATTCACTATAATTCATCAAGTCTGAACCAGACAAGCCAGTGATTAATGTCATGAGTACAGATCTAGACAGTTGGGATACAATGACCTGGTAAACCGAGTAGGGATGGGTATTGCAGAGAAGTTTCATATTGCGATGCGAAAGCATATATTGCGATATGTATTGCAATACATTGCAAGCAGTATTTTTAAACAAAAAACTACTTATACTGACTGACTGACTGAGTTTGGTTTTACGCCGCTTTTAGCAATATTCCAGCAACATCACGGCGGGGGACACCAGAAATGGGTTTCACACATTGTACCCATGAAAAACTACTTATACATGTAATCGAGTTAATGCTTGATTTATAAAGCATGAACACAACAAAATCACTATGCTTGATTAAGCTTTATTAGAAACTTTTAATCATGACAAAATATAAATGTAGTTAATATTTAGCACAAATGAAACAAGGAAATATCCGAAGATTTCCAATTGTAACGAAGTTTTCTGAATGCAAGTCAAAATACAGGTTTTCGATCAGCGTATCGCAATACATATCGTTTTCATGTCTGAACCGGTAAATAACGGTAAACCGGTTATATTGCGCTGCCCTAAAACCTCATCCTGTTACATACATGGGTTGCAGAAGATGAGATCTATCCAGGATTTTAAGAGGCATTTACACATTAAGGCATTATGTTTTCATTACACATACACATTTTACAACATCATTTTAATGAACCTTTCATAATTTTGTAAGAATATCTGTTATATTTGATGAATTATTATATCTGTTGTACAATTCCTTTTTTTCCCAATGAAATGTAAACACAGATGAGATGGTGAAAGATTCATCATGTTTGTATGGGTTGTTTTTCTCTCCTGAAGGTCTTTTTACACCTAATCAAATGTTGTGTTGCTCTATATCGGTCATGAAATAAGTATATACTACTTGGATGATGACAATAAGAAATGACTTGGCTGCTGGTGTCATCATCTCAGTCGGTTATGCCATGGGTCTCTGACTAAGGCTCCTTGCAACTCTAGGAGGAAACAACAGGGGCACCTGCAGTGATTTAAAGCATCTCATTTGATGGTGTGGAGTTATGTCCCTTTTCCCTTCAAGGATCTGCAGGGGTGTGAGGTGACCTTCTGGTTAAAGATCCCAGATCCCAGATAGCACGTCGGTGCATGTCATACAGGTGGCAAATCATTATACAGTTACCTGAGGCAGTGGGGTAGCCTAGTGGTTAAAGTGTTCACTTGTCATGCTGAAGACCTGGGTTCAATTCCCCTCATGGGTATAATATGTGAACCCCATTTTTGGTGTCCCCTGCTGGAATATTGTTAAAAGCGGTGTAAAACTAGTCACTCACTCACTCACACCCTGGCTGGATAAGTCGGTAATACTCAGAACCTGATTGTGTCTCAGTATGTTTTAATTTGGAAATTTTGTAAATGCACTGTTTGATAATTTTATGTTTTCAGAATAGTCCACAATATGTTTTCATCTTGTTTCTTCTGCAACAGACTATCTATTTGTTAGTATTACATTATCAAGAAACATTCTGAACATTTTTTGGAATCGACTGAAATGTGTTATGAAATGGAGTATTCTGATATTTGTAATTATTTGTAATATAAATGAGCTGTGTGCTATGTAGATCTACCACTAAAAGAGATACCAAAGTATACTACTCAACATTTGAAAGGAATATTTGAGTATGGGAAACAGTGTGCGAAATAGTTTCCAAATTTTGCTAGCCAGTCGGGCTAGCTATGCCTGAAAGTTACTATCCCACAAAATAATTCACTAGCCCGAAAGTTGAATGTAGCAACAAAGCAAAAGATTGCAAAAAGATAAAATACCATCAAATACAAATAACAAAACATGTCTGAAATATTTGGTTTATGCTCAAATAATTCATCATTAAGCTGCTAATATGATGAACATTTTTATCAGGCCATAATCTTAAGTGATTTAAAAGTGTGTTATAACTTAACAAGTCGGAGAGAGTGATATATTTACAAATTGACCCCCCTGAAAATTCACTAGCCTGTCGGGCCAGTGACTGGAGATTTACTAGTGGCCCGACTGGATTTTTACTAGCCACGGGCAAGTGGGCCAGTGGCTATTTTGCACACTGGTTTGGAATACATCCAACTGCTTTCAGATGTCAGGTGAACAGGATGTGATTTGGGCATGAAACTGATGCATGTTAAGCTTAATTTCAAGAAATACTGAACTAAAATATACAAGTCTGAACATTGTTGTCTCCAACTCTCTTAGAGTGTGAACTAGAAAGTATCCTTTTCAGGAGTTGAGCAGTATATATGAAACTAAACTAAATAGTCACACTCTTGTCCCAGTTCCCAGATCCTGCTGGAATGTGCATATGAGCAGCATTAATCATCGACTCACTCATTGTCTTATATAAATATGAAATCATGTTATTATGAAAATTGAAGGAATAAATTGTATTATGCTGGTGTACTATTTTTATGTCGTGTTGTCTTGCCAAGAGTCTCAGACTGAGACTCCTTGCTGTCAGTTGCATCACTAGGAGGGGCCCATGGGGTGACATGCATGAAGTATTTCACTTCACAGGGCAGAGTTGTCTCCCTTGTCCTTCAAGGATCTGCTAGTTACAGTGTTAAATACATGATTTGCATTATTGATGTGTCATGCAACGGGATTCATTCAACTGGTAAACATCCTGTGTTAGTGGTTTTCTCACATATTAAGCAAAAACACAATGAATTAACTGAAAAAATCATTCAAAGCAATCATAAGATTGTAGTCATGGTTGAAGAAATCAGCTGCAAGACATAAACCATGTTATGTCCTGTCCATTAGGTGCAGGGCGTAGGGTAGCCTAGTGGTTAAAGTGTTTGCTTATCACACTGAAGGCATGTGTGAAGCCCATTTCTGGTGTCCCCACCATGATGTTCAATTCAATTCGATTTATTTCTCGAAACACCACCAAGGGTGGTACATGAGAATACAAAATTAGAAAATTCATATAAATTAACATGTCAAGATTGGAAAAAAAAACAACAACAGAAGCTAATGAATCTTTAAGGACTTAGATATTACATTGATATACATAGCAAGATTTTTAAGATTACGCGTTTGTTTAGTTTAGATGAGAACAGTTTGACGACTTTCCATAAGGTAATTGAATTAAGGTAAGAAGGTAAATATGTTTGTCTATACAGTAGTAAAGCTTCGCATTTGAACAGATAAGATAAGATAATTCTTTATTGTCCCAAGTGTTTGTTTTGCATCATACGTTCTCCAGTTTTTCATTCATAAAGCAGCCATACATAACATTGCAATTGGTAATCATGAAATAATCAGGATATAAATACATCAATTTAGATAATGGAGTTCACCTACTGCATTGGAGTTACATAAATTACAAAGACGATGCTGGCATATTCCTAAAAGCAGCATAAAACCCAACTCACTCACTCACTCCGGTGCATTGTGTGGTAAAGATAGTAAAGACAAGGTTCAGCCTTCATCACATTCTGACATCAAGTTTACACACAGTGTGATACATACAACTATAAAATGTCAAGGGCCCTGATTCTCTCATATTACTAATACTAAAGTACATCTGTTTTATACTTCAGTAACAATATGTTCCACAATGTGATGAGTAAGATGTGAAATGCTGCAGCAGTAACCATGGTGATACTCTACACTTTGTCTATTGAGTATCAGTATCAAGCATCACTGACTGACTGACTGAGTTTGGTTTTTACGCCGCTTTTAGCAATATTCCAGCAATGTCACCCTGGGGGACACCAGAAATGGGTTTCACACATTGTACCCATGTGGGCATTCAAACCCGGGTCTTCGGCGTGACGAGCCAACGCTTTAACCACTAGGCTACCTCACGGCCCCGTATCAAGCATCAACATCAACAGGAAAGAAATATTTATGAATAAGCTGAGATGCATGTGACTGAAATCATAGATATCATGGCAACATGACCATGACAATAGGTGGTTCAAATTATTCTATTGTCCAAATGTTCATTTGGAATCATAGATGGAAATACAATTGGAGAATATTGCTAAGTTGTCATTGCCTTTTTGTCAGTGTATGCCACACAATACTAGACTAAGGCTTAGTCTCTGCATATATATAATTTTGATAGTAACAAACAAGCCCATTTATATTGAAAAGGAGCCCTAGGGAGACCCTGAACCTGAGGAAATCTAGACTTGCTTTATTTAGGGCTTTAGCACTGCAGAGAGGGTTTGGCAGTAGGGAAATTAATGTGGTTCAGGGACTGTGAGACAGACTAACACAATACCTGCAGGGGCGGATACAGCTTTTTGCGAAAGGGG